CGATCTCATTCATATGTGGTATATAATGATCAACATAAACTTATGAACAAAAAAAGACCCAGAGACAAATGGCAGGGGAGGTGGGAGGAGGGGGCTGTTTAGAGATCAACCAAAGGACTTGTATGCATGCATATTAGCATAGCCAATGGACATAGACACTGAAGCAGTAGCGGCTTGCCCACGGTGGGAATGGCTTGGGGCGGGGGTCAAGTGAGGGAAAAAGGAGACATATGTAAAACTTTGGACAATAAATAAATTTAAAAAATAATAAAATTAAATTAAAAATAAGAACCGATAATTCTGTGACCAAACAGGACAATAGTTTAACTTATTTAATTCCTACAACACTTCTATAAAGTATATATTATCTTTACCCCCATTTTCCATGAGAGGAAACAAGGTCAAAAAGGGTGAGTAACTTGATGGCAGTCACACAGTTAAGGAGTGGCAAAAATGAGATTCGAGTAGACATTTGCCTCAGAAAAGCCTGTGCTCTTAACCATGATGTGGTGATGTCACTAGAGAAGATGGGTTTTCCCTATAAATTAAGTGAGATTAAGGTAGTATGCCTCATTTTGGGAGTAGTGTTTCCTCTGATTTACCAGAAAATATGAGCATTTTAAGTAGGCCACAGATTTAATAAATAAAAGCATTTTTGATAGATTGAACTCCTGATTGTCACCTACATGGCTAAACCTTTTCCAAAGAAGAGCAACTGACATTTTTCAGTCCTGAAGGCCTTGAACTGCTGGGCTGAGTTTTCCATAAACCAGAAGCAGGGACTCCCCTCCACACAGAAGTCAACAGGACTTTCCTTAGGGAGTCCACTCTCTTCTCCGGGCTCTTTGACCTGAAATACTATTGAGGACCATCAAGTCTGCTGAGGATCCTCTCTCCTTTTTCTGTTTTAAGAGTGATTATTTGAAAATGAAACATTGCTTGGAAGTAGAATTGAATTTGGAGTGAAAGATTAGGCAGAGCTGTGAAATGGAAGTTCCCAACTGTAGCTTGAAAATTCTTGTAGAATTGCATTTAGATTCACTCCCTTATTTGTTTTATTGATAATTGTGTGAGGGTTCTAAAGCACATCTTGAGCCTAAGAATAGAAATGGCAGAAATTCTGGTGTTTCCCTAGATTGAATAAGCTTCTATGAGAGATATTAGGATCCAGTAAATACAATCTCTCCTTAAAGGATGCAAAAATTATAATCCTGACATTTCCCTCTTGAATTGTTTTTTTCTATTTTTATTAAGTATTCATATAAAATGATACACAAACACCAAGGCAGTAGCCCTAAGAAAACTGGAACATAAATGGTTTTAGGGAGAACTCCAAAGCTTTGGAAATCACATCAGAGCATTAATTCTGTGAAAGAAAGGGAATTTGTTCTAACCGTGCCAATAAAAGCCACTGAGACCATCTTGCACAGCATGTTCAGTGTCACTCTGTTAAAAAATCTCACCTCAAAGTTGACTTTTTCAAAAGCTTCCAGGGCCTCTAGACGATCTTCATCTGATTCCAAACACTCAGTCAAATCGCGGCACCAAGTGATTTGAGAAATGGTCAGGATCACCTGCATGGAAACATCTTCCTTGAGTGCGTGAGGCATCTCACCGAAAAGGGAGTCAGAGCTGGAAACGTAAGGAGTGTCACTTACTTGAGAAGCGTGGTCAGCTATCACCCATTCTGTCCTCGGTTTCATCTGATAGTCGGCGATGGCAGCTTTGCACAGGCGGCGCAAAGACGTGAACATGGCTTCTTCCACTTTACCCAGCCATTCCTCCACGTTGCCTCGGGCCTTGAGACCTTTTCCCAGTCTAACCTAGAAGATAATCAGAGCAACAATTGTATGGCTCACGTGGGACTTGTAGGCTGTCCGTCTTCCGGGCTGAGCCATGGAAACACCAAAGCCTGACCACAAATACTGGATCTTTCTATTGCTGTCCCACCCTGCCCCTCTCTTTGCCCTCTCCACTTATTCCTTTATTTTACTGCTCCCCTTGAGAACCAACTCCCTGCAAGAGGAGTCTATCTACACGCACTACATAAATTCCTTCACTTTCTTTTCCTGCTTGCTGCCATCTAATTGTTGGTCCCAACCACTCCTCCAATCTGTTAAGGTCACTAAGATTGGCAACGTTCTCCCAGCTGTCAGCTCCAATTGACAATTTTCCATCCTTTTCATATTTATATCTTGAATTTCCAATGATGTGACTGTTTGTCTGGGTCTCCTATTCTGTCCTTATTAAACCCTCCCTTTAAATTTCATGTTTCTCCTGATCTTAGCCATAGTCCTCCTCCCTTCTTTCTTCTTCTGCCTTCTGCACTAGGGATGAGCAAATTCTTTTGCAAGAAGATCAACTCAGGACAAGTGAAGTGTTTACAGGCTCCTTCACTCCCATAGAGACACTACTGTGCTCAAACTGAACTGAAATCCTCAGCATTTCCCTGCTCAGTTCCTCTCCATGGAATGCTCCCCCTCCCATGGTTCCACTCCCTCTTCCTTCCTTAGCTGTCCCTGCTTGTATATGCAAGTGTGTGTGTGTGTGTGTGTGTGTGTGTGTGTGTGTGTGTGTTAGAAGTCACTTGGTTCTCCACCGTCTGCTACTACATTCACTTGCCTCGTGTTTACCACACGTCCGGCCCTGTGCAGGCCCTGGAGACACCACTGCTAACAATAAGAACTAACACTTTCAGAGCCCCCACTGGGTACTGCTCTAAGTAGCTGACATATAGTAATACTTGAAAGTCTTCCATATCCCATTAATCTTGAATCCAGGCATGGCAGTAAAACTTGTGCTCTTAACCCGTCTACTCTTGTGCCTCTTGTAGACATGGCTCCCCTTTCTCCACTCTGTTCCCAAGAACAGAGCACGTGCCTCTGCTACTGCACTTATTGAGCTGCTCTGCAAAGTCTGTTTGACTATGTCTCCACGAGAGAGCTCTGAGGGCAAGAGTTTTAGCTTGGTGACCCCTGAAACTGCTGAGCCAGCAGAGTCCCAGTAGCAGGAGCACTTGATGGATGCTTAGAGTGACAATGAATAACCCCCTACCCTCAACCCTGAAAGTGTAACAAAGTTTTCCTATTGGGACCCGAAGAGTATTACACTAAGAGAAATAGGCCAGCCTGAGAAAGGCAAGTATCACATCATCTATGTACAAAATAAAACAATGAACAAAATAGATCCAGAGACATGGAAGCATGGAACAGACTGATGAATATCAGAGGAAAGGGTGGGGGTGGGGGGAGATTAACCAAAGAACTTATATGCATATATGCATAACCCATGAACAGAGAAAATTGTGAGTTAGGCCTGGGATGGGAGTGGGTAGGTGAGGGGTGGAGGAGCACAATGGGGGGGGGGGGGGGAAAGGGGGAAAAGGAGGACATTTGTAATACTTTCAACAATAAAGATGTTTAAAAACAAGAATTACCAACAAAAAGCCCCTTACCTTTTCTCCCTCTGGAGACAGCATTGCTAAAATGTCATTAGTGTACACTTTTTCTGGCTCTCCCTCCACAGGGGGAATTTTCCCTTCAGCAACTTCCACGCCCAAGTCAGCAGGAGTCAGGATAGCAAACCAAACCCTTGAGATGGAGTCGAAGCATTTCCTTAAGTGCGGCTGCACAGCCTGGGGATTTCGTGTTTGGGCCAAAATCTCCAGAAGCTCATCGTTTGACAAGAAGTAAAATCTGGATGAAAGAAAATACTTAAAATGTAACTTGAAGGTGAAGCAAAGCCTTATGTAGACACACAAGGTAAATCCTCAGCCACATCTCTTCCTCATCCACGGATGTCCTGGACCCCCAAGCCCACTGGTCTTGGGATTCTAGAGATGCCGCATGTCTCTAAATAGAGTTGTGGTGCCTGTTAGTGCAGATGCACCTCAAACTTCTAGAATTAGTACCCGGTAAATAAAAGATAGATAGTTTTCATAAAAATTGTAAAAAATGCAGGCTCTTGCTGTTACACTCATTTGTTCACATGCCTTTGCTACTTGTCTTTGAGCTTCTACAGTGAAGATATATTGTTTCCCCTAGGACCTAGACTAGTACCTCACACACACCTGGTAGTCAGTACATCATTTGTTGGATGGATGGATGGATGGATGGATGGATGGATGGGTGGTCACAGGAACTTTATTTGGGTCTGTGAATATATGCATGTGGACCAGGCATGGGATTGTCTCAGAACTTGTTCAACAGGACCATTTGGAGGCATGAAGAAACCTTAGGAAAAGAACTAGAGAGGGTGCATGTCTGGATGCCCAGGGACGAGGGTGAGGGAGGAGAGCCTGGCCAAGGAAGACACTTTAGCTTCTGTGAAGGAAGCTGTCCGAGAGGGATTTCTAAGGATTGGAGGGAATCCCACGAGTCCAAGACAGGCCCCACGTGGTGAGAGAGGGGACCAGATGGGTGCCACCATGTCAGGTTTCTCCTGTCACTTTGCTTCTCCTCCTTTCCCTGCTCCACCCTGGAGACCTCAGAAAATTATCAGAAAATGGGAACGTTGATCATCATACATCCTCCTCATTCTAACACCTTCCCTCCAACGTGGGTGGCACATGAAGGAGGACATTTTAACTTTGAAAGCAGTTGAGAGTTTTGATTATTACAGATCATTTATTGGGTTAAGGTGACAAGAGGTCTTTTTTTGTATATTATTATCTGAGAATGACCAGTAAATTCATGAGGCTTTATCAAGATTTCGTCTGGAGGGGCAGGAAGAAACTAGTCCCTGGCAGGGAATGCGGAGGCAGTCAATAGTTACAAATAAAGGTGCTTCTGGTTGCACTCTATTAGTCCTGCTTCTTTAACATAACACATACATTCATAATTAAATTGTCCCCGAGCCTTGTTTTTAACTGAAGAAACAGATAGCTGTAAAGCTTGGACTGCGAGAGCAGGAACAGTATTGCATTCATCTTGCGTCTCCAAGACCTAATACGGTCCATGGCTCATGCAGAGCTTCCATAAGGTTTTTAGAGTGAAATCAATGCCTCACAGAGCCTCCTGACATAACAAATGTTACACACCTCGTTGATGTAATTCTAAACAAAAGGAAGAAAGAGAGCTGATGCTTTTTTGGGTCTCGATATTTTCATCGGTAAATTTGTGCCTGGGTTTATTTACATATCATAAACTGTTTCTTTAAATATAAAAAATATCTTTGATCCAGGTGGGGAACTACTGATTTAAGAGTGAAATAGACAAAAGGCACATTCCGAACCTCAAACTCTTCCATCTGTTTCCGTTTTGCTTAAACGACGTTTTAGTAAGATTTGTGTAAGATTTCAGTAAGATTTAGTAAGATTCTTTAAAACCCAACTATTTCTGTTAAAATTCAACGAGATCTTTGGATCTTGAATTTCCTCTGCACACACATAGCCTTCTTGGTACTCGGCAATAATCCCTCTCCACCAAGAAACCCAGATAACCACCTACCCCCGGCTGCTTCAGGGGTTGTCTAGAACAGAACTTTACTCCTACTCCTCAACAGCAAACAGGGAAAACCCATGAAAGATGAACCACGTTGCTAATGTTCTCTGCATTGTGTTACAATGTGCCCCACTGGCTGCAGTCGGGAGCTTTTGCTACAATCAAGTAGTCATACTCTGGTCTTATATAACTATATCATAATGGTCTATGGCAGTGGTTCTCAACCTTCTGGCCCTTTAAATACAGTTCCTCATGTTGTGACCCACCCATAAAATTATTTTCGTTGCTACTTCATAACTGTAATGTTGTTACTGTTATGAATCGTAATGTAAATATCTGATATGCAGGATGGTCTTAGGCGACCTCTGTGAAAGGGTCGTTCGACCGCCAAAGGGGTCGCGACCCACAGGTTGAGAACCATTGCTCTATGGCCATGATTGTCCAACTGTTAACCATGAGCTCCATTACGGCAGCGATATGGCCTTTTCTTCTTTGTCTCTTCAGCACTGAGCATAACATTCGTTATTTATTTATTTATTTATTTATTTATTTAAAAAATATATATTTTATTGTTATTTTTACAGAGAGGAAGGGAAAGGGATAGAGAATTAGAAACATCGATGAGAGAGAAACATCAAACAGCTGCCTCCTGCAAACCCCATAGGGGGTTTGTGCCCACAACCAAGGTACATGCCCTTGACTGGAATCAAACCTGGGACCCTTCAGTCCTCAGGCCACGCTCTATCCACTGAGCCAAACCAGTTAGGGCACATTTGGTATGTTTTTAGAATGCAAAGATGAGTAAAAAAAATCATTTGGAATTTGTGAAATAATCCCTTAGACAACTTCTACAGTGACATTATTAGGCCACCAATTAACTTAAAGAAACCTGTTCAGGCACCACAGGTCTCTAACTTTTCACATCCACATCTGTGGACACATGGACCTGTGGGCACACACGTAATACACCCAACAGTGAAGTAATGCTGCCATCAAGAATACTTCCTGCACCTTGGGTTGTTACCCACTTAAACCTTTCCCAAACTTGCACCTCCCTTGAGAGTTACACTCCCTGGTCAAGATATTAGCTGGCCTGCCATTATCACACATCTTTTTCTCGTTTCCCTCTCTGATTCTCTGATGTTTTGAGGTTGTGGCTTGTTTTTAAGTACATCCTTCCAAATTAATGGATAGTTTTAACTACTAAAAAATATCATAGGTTGCTTGTAAACTTACCTGGGAAAGATAACTCTTTTTGATTCTAAATACGCCTCTAGACACTTCTGAATTTGGTCAAGTAATGCATTATTATTTTGAAATGTCTCCAGGAGTCCTGTTCATCAAAAAACAAAGTTATTGGTAAAATTGTGTTAAGACAAATAGAGAATATAATTTTAAGGGGAAATAAAATATGATAACATTTTAAAGCTTTGGTTTTATTTGGTAAAAACAATCTAATAAATTAAAATTTGTGGGGTTGGCTAAGAATGTAAAGTATTAATGAAATCAAGATTTCATAATTGAACAGAATTTAATTTGAAACATTTTTAGCTGGCACTCCTCCCTTTTGAGGGGCTGAGGGTGCATGAACCAAAGCCAAACTGTTGTCTTCTTAACCCTCCAAAAACAGCCATTCTCTGAACTTTCTTACTCATGTCTTCTGTTTCCTCTGCCATATTTAGATACTGAATTGTGGCAATGGGATCCTACTTCTTTATCACTAAACTCTAGCAACTTAAGGAGCAAGATTCATGTCTTACTTAACTTGGATGGTTTGGTGCCTATCACAGTGCTTGGCTTAACTGCCCACCCAAGAATCAAACCCAGTCTTTTCCATGGTCCCAAAGGATGTGATCAATGACCCAATCCAACCCTCAAGCTCCCACCCAAGCTCATCTCTCTGGACTTACCTTCTAAGCCCTTCTCCTTGTGCACACAATCCCAACCCACAGTGGCTTCCTTTCTAATATTTGTGCATACCAAGTGCCTCTGTTCTTCTCTCTGCCTTTAACGATGCTCCCTCAGATGCAGATACTTATTTCATTCCCTCATTCTTACAGGTTTCTGCTCAGAAATCACTTTATCAAAAAAGCCTTCTTTCTTCTCCTCCTCCTCCTCCTTCTCCTCCTCCTTGCTACTTGAAACACCCACCTGCATGATTCTTTAAATGGACTGTTTTCAAAAAATAAAAAATAAATACATGGACTGTTTTCGGCTACTCTAGCCCCTTTACCTTGCTTAATTTTTCTTCATAGCTTTATCATCACCTAAAATGATGTATACAGGTTCCTTTATCTGAAATCCCTAGGACTAGATGTATTTTGGAATCAGATTTTTTTTTTAAATTTCAAAAGTTGTATCATAAGCCTAGTAAGAACTGGGGCAGCATTCTAATCAAACACATTAATATTTTTGCAGCAAAAGGTATGAATATGCAAATTAATTGGATGTGTTAGGCAGAGCTGAAGTCTTTCAGGGATGTCCATGTCCCATCCCCAGAGCCTGAGTATGCTAGTTGATGTGGGAAAAGGAACTTGGCAGCTCTTTAAATGAAGGATTGTGGGATGGGAGCATATTGTGGATCATCCTGTGGACCCAATGTAATCACAGGGGTCCTTATAAGAGGGAAGGCAGGAGGGTCAGAGGCAGAGAAGGAGCTGTGATGAGAAGATCAGAAGCTGGAGTGATGCGATTTCTGGCTAGAAGGGGACCTGGGGCCAAGGAATGTGAGCAGCCTCCAGAAGCCCCGAAGTTTTAAAGTTTTCAGTTCTCTCCTGCCACACAGCTTCTTCCTGTCAGCTTCTATTTTATGGTAAGAGTCTTTAGACAAAAGCATAGCCCCGCAGGCTGCCAATGGCAGGGCAGCTGTTGCGGGTATTTACCAGGATAGGTTATCTGCTGCCATTTGCAGAATAAACGAGCTTGCTGAGGCTTGGATACAAATCATGAAGTTCAATAACCACGGTTATGCTGCAAAGAGTTTGATGCCTCATCCCTAGAAAACGGAACTTATGAAAACACATTTCAAATGTTGAGATTTGAGTTACAACCGCTGGTAATGTTTTTAACTGGTTTTAATGAGTTGATTAAAAGGAAGTTATGGAGCCCTGGCCAGTGTAGTTCAGCTGGTTGGCGTGTCGTCCTGTACACTGAAGGGTTGCAGTTTTGATTGCCAGTCAGGGAACATACCCAAGTTTTGGGTTCGATCCCTGGTCAGGGCATGTGCAAAGGCAACTGGTTGATGTTTCTCTCTCCCATTGATGTTTCTCTTTCTCTCCCCTGATCTTCCCCCCCACCCCATCTGCTTCCTTTCCTCCCTCCCTCTCTCTCTATCTCCCTCCTTTCTCTCTGAAATCACTGAGAACATATCCTCGGGTGAGGATTAAAAAAATACGTTATGGAGATTTTTATGGTTACAACTTTGTGAGGACTTTAGCAGAATGGGGCATTGGGGGAGGGGTTCACTGTTATGTTTTGTAGTCAAAATGGTGAAATGGAAGCATGACTAACACTGCGGCAGTGTTCCCAAATTATAAAGGGAGCAAAAGCTAGCAAGATACTAGTGTTCAATCCACATCGCAAGAGCGCCCAGTGTATTACAACAACTCCTGGTCATCAGTGCTTACTAGAATTAAGGGTTGAGTGCACTGCATGTTATTAGACTCTCATGGGTGATAAACGTTTTAGATGGTTGCAAAGTCTTTTTGTTCGTCTTTAAATTTTTGTTCTATACCTGGTTGAGTGGCCGCTCGAAGAGCATTAGGCAACCGGTTCACCTTCCTCATAATCTCTTTCCATGACTTATCCACCTGAAGGAACATCTTGGACTCTGCAGGCAATTGCCTCTGAATGTCTGGAGCATTAAAAATACTTTCCAGGTACAACCAGTTTCTCTGGCAGTTCAGCCACTCTTCCTAGGAAGGAAAATATGAACATGGTCAAATTTTAACCCCCAATTAACAACATTCAGCTACGTTAAAAATAATTATGTGGAGACTCACTGTATCGTTTTCCTTTTGGGGGCTTCTTCTGGGTCTGCGGAAATGAAACGTCTTACAGAGTTCAAGACTCGCCTCACCCCAATTTCAACCCATTTTCTACTGAATAGTTATATTGAGTCTACTGTGTGGTCGCTAGCATGGACCCAGAGAAGGGTTAAAATCCCCAAAGGAGACATTTGGGGGTAGAGAGGAGTGGCAAGATGCTTATTTAAAGAAACCTGAAAGGTTGGGAAGTGGTAAGGTTAGTGACTGGTTCCGAATACAGGCTGCAACGAAGGGAGGTTTACAGTCATGAGCATGTGAAACATCGCTTCTTCTTGTATTATTCTCTATTAATTACTGTATTATTTTTCCACATGAACAACTGTAACCCTACTTTTGCCTCATCCTGTATAGAAAGGATTATAAAAAATGTTTTTCAATTATGTGTATATTCTTTCCTCCCTCCTTTTTTTTTTTTTTAAAAAAAGAAATATATGATTCATTTTCTTCAATCAATAAAGTAAAACCTGCTAATGACAGGACATGGCAAATACAGAAGAATGGGAGGAAGAAGAGCATGACTCATTGCTTTCCTCATAGAGACAATCACTGTTAATCAAAGAAATCAGAAATGCAGTGTCAGAACTAAAGTCTATAGACCTCACCCTTCTCTGTGCCTCTTGCCCAAGATCCATGAAAAGGTTTCTCACTTCTTACTCAAGATTTGGGGGTTCCATGTAAGCCCTAATGGTAAAACTACTTCCTGGTTTATCTCAGGTCTCACACTTTCTAATCTCTGGAGGAGCCCCAATAGTCAGCATTGGATTCTTTTAAGGATCCTCTATGGGAACATATCCTTTATGCTGATCTATAGCTCCTCCCTTCAGAGGGCTCAACCATCAGTACAAGAAGGCTAGACACAGGTCAGAGTATAAAGTGTTCACTGAAGAGGATGAACTCCTGAGAAAGATCTCTTTGAAACAAAGCTGGAAAAAATTGTGGTTTTTTCCCCCCCTACCAGTGGCTTTATGATTTCACAGATAATTCTTCATCTTAAAATACATATATAGAAACCTAAACGCAATTAAATCAAGCTAAAAAGCTGAAGTCTAAGAAAGGGATTGGATGGGAACAAAGTGCAATCAGTGTGGGTGAGTTTTCTGCTTTGCGGTGGGATGATCTGAAGTAGAATCAAATAAAAGGGAGGTGTGTGCTGCAAGAAAAGGTACCAAGGAGTCTTCAAGCAACAGTGTTTTTCTACAACTAGGCGGCTGTTGTGGCCAGACTGTTAAGGTGGCCCCCAAGATCTGCTGTTCACAACCTTGTGTGATCCTCTGCCCTTGAGTGTTGGGTGCTTGCCTACAGCCACGGAGAACATGGCAAAGGTACCAGGATGTGCACAATTATGTGTGTATTCATCTTGCCGGGAGTCTTTCTCTACCTTGCTAGATTGATGAAGCGAGTCATCATGCTGGGGAAAGTCCACATAGAAAAAACCCAAGGGCAACAGGAAGGATCTGAGGATGGCCTCCAGAGCACAGCTAGCAAGACACTGAAGCCCTTAATCCCAGAGTTGCAAGGAAATCATTTCTGCCAGCAACCCGAGTGAGCTTGAAAGTGTAATTCTTTCTTAGTTGAACCGGTGATGAGAACCCAGGCCTGGACCACAGCTTCACTGAACTCTTGTGAAGTCCAAACTAGGAGACCCAGTTAAGCCACACCGAAACTACTGACCCACAGAAACTAGGCAGTAATAAATGCATATTATTTTATGCCACTGAGTGTGTGGTATTTTGTTTCATAGCAATAATGACTAATACAAGGGTGGTGGGGTAATCTTGGAAAGAAGGGCTCCAACAGATTTGAATTTTCCTTACATTCTGAACATAATAAGATGTCATCAATGAAATATTACATCTAAATTATGTCTTATTTAAGTGATTGAACAAATGATTTCTAAGGTTCAGTGACCCTCCAGTTCTCTGAGTCCCTGAACTGAACTGATCCTTACTCACCAGTGTTTGATTAAATAAAGCAATTTGTTTCTGCCATTCATCCACTCGAGTTTTCAGTGGCCCAACATAACGTGACGAGGCAATGGTGTTGATATTGATGGTGCTGTCATCAAGAAGGACCTATAAAGAAAGAAGAAGAAAATGATGCAACATCATGTGCTTGTGCTCTCAAAGAGAATTACAGGTATTTAGCCCCAAGAGTCTATTTAAAATCTTGCTTCTTGAACGAATAGCTTAGCCGGACATACTGGTACCTCCCCATCCACTTTCCCTCCATATCCTATTTGCTATGGCTTACAACCCAGTATCATGACCTCTCAAATGCCATAAAGGGTTGTCTGATTGCCAAATCTTTGCTGTTTCTGTAATTATTATTGGCATTTGTTTTGGTTTGGTTCAACTCTCTTCTCTCTCTCTCTCTCACTCTAAAGTATTTGGCACCTTCTTAACACTATTTAGTCATCCAGGCCTTTATTTCTCAAAGTACTCAAAACTAGCAAAAGACAGAAAAATTATCTCTTTTCTAACCAATGAAACACCACTTTCCCTCAATTATCTTTAGGAAGAGGAAATTTAGATTAATTCACATCAAGCTCTGAATGATTAGACAGTTTTCCCTCTACCTCCAACCCCACTTCTCCCCCTTACACTATAGCAACTCTCACAGAACATATGCATTTAAAAAAAGTCTGTTAATTTAAAGAATTTCAGTTGCTTTATTTAAATTATAAACTTCTTGAGAGCAAAAGCCCCATCACCTAGCATCACTTGACCTTATATTGACCGACTTTCATCTTGAGTCTGCTCTCCCATCCACTGTCCAGAGTAACATCTGAACTTGCTCTACCAGCCGATACCTGGCAAAGCCATTTCATCTCCAGTTCTGGCCTGGGTACAACCTAATAGACCAGGGTTTTGTTTTTTAAATTGAGCTGTAAGACCCAGATCTCTTTGCTAAACAAATGTGTCTTTGGATTTTAAGTCACTAAGAATATTCCAAACACACAGAATATAGAGCATGGCCATGTACTCCTACCCTCAGAAAATTCAAATGAATTTAGCTTCTTGGTGTGCTATAAACCTGAAATACTCATTCATGTTTCTTTGCTTCATTTAAATGGTTTGAAGTGCCCTTCATTCTCATCTATGTCTATCAAATCCCATACTTTTCCTTCCTAATTCAAATTTTCTTATTTAATAACTCATATTCCATTTCTCTATCATAATCTCCCATAAAAGGTTTAGAACTAGTTCTGGCCAGAACATTCACCACAAGTTTTCAATAACCCAGTTACCCACCTGTATGTCGTCTGTGCCACCTAGGATAAATACATCTTTGGTGTCTCGGTGAGGGAGAACGACAAATTCAGTTGTTTTCCATGAATCCTCCACCTTAGAAAGAATTCAAGTCTTAGGATATCTAAGTTCATTTATGTTTAGGTACTTAATAAATGCATGTGAAACGAAATAGGTGAAACGGACATAATAATCCCATTCTCCTCCTTTACAACTTTTAAAATTCTTAAAAAATCCTTTTCTCAGCTAAATAACCCTGCTTTGCTTAATTTTAATGACCGATGTTAATACATATGAATAACTTGTGATACTTTAATGTGTATTTCCTATCACTTTGTGTTTTAATTAAAGGAAAAAAATCACTTTAGACATTTGATTGGTAAGTATGTGTGAATTTTTAGGGAAAAGAGGTTAAGTATACTAAATAGAGAACTTTTTTCAACATCTTTTGAAGTATTTCACATAGTCTTTTCTAGTAGTTTGAAAGATAATGTGTTTTGATATAAAAGATATTCTTTGGTAAGTGGTTTTTTTATATAAGCATGCAAATTTCAAACTTTGTTTATGTTGGGCTATAAGCTTAGTAGAAGGAAGATGTTTATAATTGTGATAACAATAATAATGAAGATAAATATAAGGAAACAATAGAAGGACAATTGATAATGAGAGGGTGAAAGCTGCACTGTTGAAAAATCTATCTAGATAACCCAAAAGTTGGTGATATAAAAACCTTTCCTTACCTGATCTGAAAGATATGTTTTTCATATTTACCTTTTTAAGAATGATTTCTAAGGAAGATTCTCCAGAAGCCTGTCCTGAAATGTCCTGGATTTCTTGGGCAAAGTCAAAAACACGCAACTCGGAGAGCTTCTCCAAGGTTAATGGAGTTTCAAGGTCCAGTAGGGTGGCATCCACTGTGTGTTCAATAGCTGCCCAATGTCTAGCCTTCAAAGTTGGGTTCCTCAAGTCAATGATAACTGGCAGCTGGAAAACAAACACGCTCAAAGGCACTATGCTTTTTATCTTAGAAGCACAGCTTTTAATCCGAGAATGTAGAGATCTGGAAAGAACATCACTTACACGCTTACAACAAAGGAAAATCTGAACAAACTTCAAATTAATGACTTGTATCGAACCCATCAGAAACTAAACTGCAGGTCAAGGAACTAACTCAAACTTGTCGTCCCCACAGTTTACTCCACAGCAAGAAACAGAACCTGAGAGTTTGATTATCTAGGACACTTGCCCTGCGATGCCACTTAAGTGAGTTGGAAGACTCAGTTAAGTTTTAAAAATAAATTGTTAAAGACTGAGTGTGGGGTCGCATGAGAGGGTGAAGTACCCGGCGGCTACACATATAGAGGTGTTCATAGAAAAGATTGGGGAGACTCCTCAGAAAGCCTACCTTATGGTGCTGGCAGGAGAAGGAAACAGCAGCCACTATTGTAACTAACCATCCAAACTCTCCTAGCTTCCTTCTGGTACCAAAGCCTTCATGTCAGAGAAGGGAGGAACAAAAACTCTCATCTAAGATATTGGTGATAACTCCTTGTAGGTATTTATAAACATTGGAGAAACGGAACAGGAAAAGAGAAAGCTCTACCCACAGGGGAGGGACAGAAATACACTTTAGGCTCCTAACTACAGGT